TTWAAGCGGTGTCCACAGCAGGCGACCCGGTTGACAGGGAATTTTAAGAAGCCTTTTGAAACAGTATTTGTTMRGTCTTTGTTCACAGCTAGCACAGGAGGGACAACGATATCCTATAGCAAGATTATGCAAAATGGTAAGACTAGATATCAGAGAAACGTGCTGGCAAATATTTATTATTGTTATTATAACAAGTCAACCGTATAGGTCATCCATTTAAGTTTCCGATTCCAGATATTAAAATTAGGAGACGTCTGGAACAACTACACAATCTTTGTCTGCTTGTCACAGATACGCAGTGTTTTTAATATTGAGACATATGCAGATACATTTATACAAATATATATCGTTTTTTAGATGTGGGATTAGTAATAAAAAATATAAAGTTCTTTTTTTACAAAATTAAAATTCCAGTCATGTGATTAATTTGTAAAAGTGTCACGCTAGTTAGGCACCAATTGCATGATTAGCCTGTCGCTCCAGGACTCGCAGAAAACACCAGAAAGCACACTATTGTACGTTTTTGCATTCAAATAAAAGGAAGAACCAATTAATCCTCATAATTCCCTGGTACCGAGCCAAGAGAGGAGCTACAGGTCAGAGTTGCCAACTGAAACTGAGTGATTGAATGTCTCTGAAAATGCCGCCCATGTTTTTAGTTGCTGGACGTTTACGACTTAAGCTGCCATGGCTATATAATATTAAAAGGGTTTCCCAAGAATGTTYAGCAGAACAAATGACAAATATGCATATAYGGTCTAAAAAGTCCTTTCCAAAAGTCCACCCCAGAGCACCTCGTRCATAAGTCTTCCCTTCGCTTTCCTTCGTTGTGCTGATGACCAAGGTGCTCTGGGGGTGAGTATGCCTCCCTTCCTTTTGGGTCCTTAAAAAAATATATTTTAATCAAATTAAACCCATTTAACCAAACTCAGTATTTGGATTTGATAAAATAGACTTGTCAATTCCATTAAAATGTTTTAAAATCTATAAATATGTTGTTTCTTGTTGTGTTTTTGTGTCACGAAATGAGTCTCCTCTTTTTCTTCCCTTATAAGGATAGCAATCACTTCCCTCAGAAACTTTTCTCTCTTTGTCGTGACGTCTTTCCGTCGCAGTTATGACACTCTTGTCAGCCAAGTCATCCACTGAATTCATACTGACTGCATGACTGTAGTTATTATGGACATCGTTGGRAGTATGTTTGAAATCATTRCGCTCAGGATCTTTAGGCCATTCCTTCTGGAGACCATTGACTTGGTTTCTTCGCCATTTTATCCACGTATATAGTACAAAAGCGATTAGAATTACAAGAGCTAAAACACATGCACAAATCGTACCAACTTCCAAAGATCCCATCTAAAAAGAAATATAAAAATCGTTATTTAATAGAAACGATTCATTGGGAAGCTAAAAATTATTTCTTAATTGTTGCAGTAATTGCCCATGTATCTTTGCCGATAGTTGCTCGCTAATGATAATCTCTTGGATGACTTCCTTTTTGATTGTTTACCGAATCCTAAATCATTGCTACTCGAGAAACTTCGGCTGAGGCCTAAATCATTACTACTCGAGAAACTTCGGCTGAGGCATATACTGATGGCTCAGTTGATATGTTAACGTATACAGTCCTGAGTCGGCAAACTAAAAGTTCTCAGRTCAAGGTGGAAATGGCGAAGGAGCCTATTTTTTTCGAGATGGTGGATTATGGTGTCCATGYTGTAAATGAAATGCATTGACTTTTTTTCAGTGCTGCCCATATGCCTTAATTCTCAAGTAGTCTAATGTTTGTTGTCATCAATAGAATCATAGACTGAAACTAACTTTCAGATTCGGTCAAAGTTTACTTACTTCCATGTTTCGACCTTATCCTTCTTGTAGCTCTCTAAGTAGCTTCTGGTGTAGACGAATCACTCTTTAGAAGGCACTTTATAACTGATTATTATGGTGAAGCACCGTGAGGGCCCGTGAGTACAATATCTTAAGAAACATTAAGATTAGCATATGAAAGCAGCTGAGTTACGCGTCAGTGGCCATCTCTTTAAAAGTTATATCATCAGCGTTCCGACGAAACACGTARCATTCACACRATAGTTAAACTATGTTCACACTAAAGACTTCGCCCTTCATCACGTCATAGCCAACAGCTCGAGTTGTGTCCCCTACAACATATATCATCCAAATGCGTTTTAACATTTTAATTAGATTTTTTTGTTTAGTTAACGGAGTGGTTCACACTTGTTAAATGATGTCATGTCACGTTTACTCCCGCCTTTGTTTTAACAAAAATACTGATCGTTTCATTCAATAGTTTTATAAGAAATGTTCAATCATTACGAATCGGAAACCCCTAGGAGCCTTCATCTACGTATGGTGTTTGGGAACTAGTTATGGCCTCCTGCTGGGCTCCTGTACGAATATATCTCTTTTCAGCTTACAACATGCTTTGAAAATAAAATTTATTACATAGATATTATATTCATGATTTCTCTTTCTATAGACCGGCTACGGTTCTTTTCAAACAAATTATTGCTTAACTAGATAGGCATGAGTCAAGAACAAAAGAATAGACGAAGAACTTAGCTCAAGCATGGTACGTAAGATAAGCACAGRAACAACTGTTGTCAAAAAATTAAAACAAACTTTTCCTTTTGTCTTCTTCCCCCTCTTCAATCCCTAAATCTATTGTTTATTGTGCTAATGCTTAGTTGATARTATGACAAATGCTTACATTGTAGTGTACACCAGCCCATATTTTCTGATAATTTCTTGCTTATCAACCCTTAATCTGAGGTACGTTAATACGAGCAAAATCAGTTGCTGAAAAACAAGTTGGAAATCGATGCTYCACATTTTACTGCCAGCGAATCAACTTGTCTTGTTGAGTGAACACTGGTTTCTGATAAAGCCAGCTGATTTTCGCACGATGTCATTTTGCTACGGGACAAGTTGGAGTAATAAACGCGACGAACATCGACAGATGTTGCAAAAAGTAAAACTATTTTCTGATTTCTGCAACAAACGTTTTCAACTTGCAACAAATGATRTTGTCACGAGACAAGTTGATTTGCCAGCATTAAAACTCATAGCATTGCTTTCCAAGTTGTTTTGCAGCAATGTTGAGAGACAAGATGGACGATATTTTGCTGCCCGRATTACCGCAATTTACCATTGAAAGCATGAAACAGATCCACGTCGATCTTTCACCTAAATCATCGCTCATTCAATGGACTAAACAAAACTTGAAATTTCGCAAGGCTTTTGAAAATCATTCAATATTTATATAATAAACAGAATATTTCATGTACATGGTTGCCAGAAGATGCTACAGCTCTTAAAGATCTATAAAATTTATATTCAAGRATCAATATTGTCTTGTAATCTTGATTTAATGTTGGTCCATCTACAGGTCATGTGACCCTACACTTTGTTGAAGATATTCCTTGTATAACTTTTCCTGTTGATATAAAAATCATTGTACATAAATTAACTTATTTTAAAATATCTAAAAAAATAACTATTAGKTCATGACAATTCGTTCAATTTGTTCGGCTTCTTCCAAAATGATGCATTTCTGCAGTGTCCCCCGTTGAATGATGAGACAAAAATGCTAGACAAATCTGTCGATGAGGCATARGGGTCGTACAAAAATGGTGTTCCCACATCCACCCAAGGTTCATCAWTACCAAAAGATAACTCTCTCCTTAAGCCCCCTTGAAGGCTAATACTACCATTCACCAATGCCAAAAATAATATCAACAAATATCTTATAACGTTTAGGGAGTTTTTCTATAAAAAAATCACAAAATTATCTTTGGCATGTACCTTTTTGCCTTTGACATAACCTTGTACATATGATCTCTTATCCATTAATGCTCTTTTCTGTTTTCTTGATAATGTAGGTTTTAAACTAAAATGAATCCAAATAATGTATTGTGAGATGGGCTCCCTGTGGTTAATTATGAGGGCTAACTAATGTAAAATGATAAATATAGATAAACAATAAAAAATAAACTTTGTTCTCACACACCTCAAATTGTACATGTAAACAGCCCTTTCYATTGCCGCAACTTGCAGTTAAATTTCAAGCCTGTTCGAAACTCAGGCGATTGTCACGCGACAATCGCGCTTTCAAAATTTCAAATGTAACGGGCCTTTAGGCTTTCTATTGTGTATGAATAACAATTTGGGCATGAGAACTAGCTGCTGTAGCTGCTGTTAGACTAACCTTGATGAGAACCTTGCAATGATAATCAGCAAGAATGAAAACACTAGCATTCCAGTAAGTGCATGGTAATGGTACTCTTTAGGAATAGTTTTCCACATTTCTTCAACAGGTGCCTATTTAGGATATCATAAAACAGTAAAGAATTGGGCTTCCTGTGGTGTGGAAGGAGCAATAAGACTGAGGCTTAGTCCACACTTATGAGGATCATTTTGAATCTGCAAACTTTTCCTGATGGAGATGATGTTCTTGATTTACGAGAAGACTACTTACAGTGTATTTTCGTAGTCCAGCAGCAAGTCCTTGACCAAGAAGATCATCTAATTGTCCCCTGATGTTACTGCTTGCTATGAAGTTGATAAGCAAAACAAAAGGAAGAAGGAGTCCAAGAAATCCAAAGGCAATGCCCCTCAGTCTTGCCTTCATGTTATACGAGCGTGCTTCCCTGAAGTTCAATGAGTTTATAATATTAGTTTGTCAAAGTGAAAGAACCTGATGAAATTATTTTACCAAAGTGAATTACTTACGTATCTACAACTAGATTATTATCTACAAGATCTGATATCTTGAGGCAATCTTTCTCTAGTGTATTTAAAGTATTCTGGATTGTATGGTTTATAGTTTTTTCAAGCTCTTTACAAACTTCCTCGATTTGGTTGGCACATCGTGATGGCTGTGAAATAACAATTCATTGTTAATATTAAAATTAAAATTACATTAAATTGTTGACCATACCTTTTCTAAGAGACTTGGGACAAAGATGGTTGGCATATCAAAACCAGCTTTATTCAGACCTGGTCTTTTACACAACTCCTGAGTGATTTGCATCAATACTTTCTGTACATTTGCATAACATTATGTCAGTCACTTTAGAAACATTATAATCAACTACAAATGCATGAATCCCATAATACTAACCTGTCTATCACTCTCATGGCCAGCGGTATCAGCTTTACTGAGGTAAAACCTGAGTCGATCAGAAGACTTCTCATTTAGCCTTTCTGTTAAAACATGCACATTGATCAAATTAATAACAAGTAAATTTATACTTACAACTGAAGCAACATAACTGATTAAATGGTAAGTAGTTATAACAAATTTTTTGTACTAAGTAATGTTTCTGGTAATCATTTCTTGTAATGGATGCAAACCCTTTACAATAAAAGTAGCAGAGCTACCACAGTGTCATGGATTTGTTTACATTATGTTTGTTTTCTAATTATTATTGTGATACTCACCAACAAGGTTTAGAGTTCTTTTACAAAGTGCTTGTCCAATGGGATCAAAGAACACAAATATCAAGTCKGCTAAACCACCTGATGAATAAAACAGTCACCAATGGTATATTACTTTGAAATGACTTAAAATACTTGTTTTCTGACAAATAAATCTATACAYCTAGTTAGTTCATTACCTAACCACAAGATTGCTTCATCAACATCAAAAGGGTACTTCATYTCACCATCAACAAGACCAGGTGTATCAACAAATGTTATCAAGCTGAATTTTTTCTGTTTTGATGTAGAAATTTCAGTCATCAAATACTCTACCACTCCTGAAATAAATACAGCATTAGTACACTAGAAATATTAACAAATATTTGAAGTTTTTGTGAAGTTCATTTACACACCACAATCATTTGTACAATCATCTACATAATAATATTATTTTACCATCTATCTGACGCAGTGCTCCAAAGTGTGGATATAAATGAAGAGTTGCATTACCCTGTAACAGAATCAAACAAACAGAAGAGGCTATAAACTCTGCAAAATCCAGGGGGGAGGGGGGCAGTGGTGCACAAATACACAGTTACAATCCTGAAACACCCAGGTCCCAAATATAAAATACAAGTTAGAAAATCTTACAGTGAGAGACTCTCTCTTCTTTCCGCTAGTAACTACAGTGAAGCCTTGRGTTTCAATAGCAACACCAGTTCTTTGGATATGTTCCTCTATGTACCTTACAAAGAAAGTTATTCAAATTTACTAATAATCAACTTTATAGATTCTACATAAAGAGCATCCAAACCCCTAAAGTGAAGGGCACCTTGCAAAGGGTCCAGATCTAATTGTTCAGTCAGGACCCTAAGGGCAAAAAGGCAACCTAATGTACAMGAGGGGTCAAAATGAAAGCATTAAAAAGTGAAACGGGAAGGGAAGAGGWCTGAGAAAACCCATGTTATGTCTGTTTGTGCTGTTTATGAATGTGAGTTTTTTCTTTCCCTGCWGGGAAAGTGAGCAATKAATGTACAACTTCATTAAGATAATTGTAAAACATACCAATTAATGAATGAGCTCTTTCCAGCAGAATGGTTCCCAATCAATACCACGTTTATTTTCTTTCTTGGAGCAAGAAGAYCAAGTCCAAGGCTTTTTGCAATCGTTACAAGGCCTAAAAAATCAAAAATCAAGCTTAAGCTTAAGTCTTAGCTATAAGATTTTAACTTTTCCAGGCACTTTTTTATTGAAATCTTGCTTTCGATATTTACTACTTCTTTATATAATCACACAAGTTAGTGTCAGGTCTGTTTAGATTTCTCAAGTCAATGAAAAGTAATATAGCTTTYATCATATCATATTTTTGTAAGCTAAAATGTAAACGTGTACATTTCCCACCTCGCTCTTCGTCTGTGTAGAGTTCATGYCATTCCTTGAGAATCCGCTCATTTAAACTCAATGATGACGCATCTGGTGCATTTGCAGAAGACCTCTGTTTACTTACAGGCATTATGATGCAAGAAAATCCTACGAAATCAAAGTTCTTTTTACAAGAAAAGTTTAGCTAAATAAAATATTTTGAAATTTTTTGCCGGTCGTCGATATTTGAGCCCAGTCCTCACTCGAAGCTTCATTCAGATGCATCATGGGAGTCGAAAGGTTAGGCGCGCACAGGATGCCCAACATGTAAATAATCAACAAATCAACAGGCTGCTTCAGATACTTTCTTATCTTTTCCCCTCTACACGTGGCAAAAATATTTCATTTTACCTACTTTATTTTATATCATCTCATTAAGTCCAACACTCCGGTAGGCTTCAAATCTTTCAACTGGGACCATTATGTACAAGGCTCGGCAAGGCTCAGATTTTATCATTCAATACCCCTGCCAGAGGATGACTGGTTAAGTAAAATCAGACAGTTAGAGCAGTATTGAGTTGACTGCAGGGTTGTATTAAAGGCAAAATGGATTACTTATTTTAAATCTTATATGCACATAGTTATTATTAACTTCTGATTTTATTTTATMTTTTTTACATATTCACTTTTATATGTTTCTGTGACACCTGCACTGGAATTTGCCTTATGTCCACATAGGATTTTGKAAATAATCTATGTAGAAGTAGAAGTAGAAGGATATCGTTAATAATTGCCTATCATTCAGGGGTTTTTTTTCTCATTTTTTTCTGATTTTTATTATTACTTGATATCTATCGAGATYCATTAAGATGARTGAGAATTGTTTTAGATTTATCTGTCAATATTGTTGATGGGTTGGCATATATGTTTGGTCCTAATGTCCGTCTCCTCTTCAATAAAAACTCTTGTCTTTCTTGTCTTTTTTTCTCAGATGTGTGGCCATGTTCTTCCTCCTGTGACGATCACAAAGTCATAAAGTTAGTAGTGTTTTTAAGACTTGATGCATTGTACTTATAATATAGAAAAAAATGTTTATAACTTGTAAAGGTGATAAAGTACAAGAAACACAGCTTGTCACCTAACATTCATGTTGATGATTAAAAATAATGTTTCCTTAAAAATAATGTTTCCTCTTCACATGATTCTAACTTGTAATTATACAACAAAAACATTTCTTGTTTGGAAAAAAGTGTTGTGAAAAGGAAAAGCATGGATCTGCTATAATTTTTCTGAGCAACATTTTAGTGACTGTCAAGTTGATTATGATGCTCCTWAGTATGCATGATTTTCTAAACTTGCAAAAYATGTTTCTGTGACACCACAACTTAYWTGAATGAGGTGTAAAAGGAAACATTATTTTCGTTAGTAAAATAAATGATAAAGACAACAAGTGATTTTTACGACGTTTCGAGGTCATACTGCCCTCATTGTAAAAATCACTTGTTGTCTTTATCGTTTATAATTTTACTACTGATTTCAAAACCACTTTTGATTAAATTATTTTCATTATTATTRATTTCATTATCATGTTTGATTGAATACACAGTATGATGTTGCATGATAAGTGGGATGTGTTCATTTTTCTTATTTTAATACCTTTTAGATATCAAATAATTTACATGATCTAATGCTTTGGTGCAAATAAGCTTTACTAAGATCTGTAAGACACTACTTACAATAGATAGATAAGGAGTAGCCAGCATAGTTTCAACTTCTGCTTTTGTATTTTCCCGATCTCTAGTATTTCTTCTTTGTGTAGYGGTGACTTTTCTTACAAGTCTATGTTTTCTACAAAAATACACAGGACAACATGTCAAAAATCTTATCATAAACCAGCCATGGACAAATTTGTAAATTCCTTTGCAAAAAAATTCAATATTTAGAATATCTGCAAGCCACAAGTGCATATAACATTCAGAGTTATAATCATCAAGCTGACTTACCCTCCATAAATTCTTCCAGGAGTTGATCGACTGAGTAAAACTCTTGTTACCCACATCTTCACACAAAATGGCTGATACCAAGGCTTGTGGCTTGGGCTTCCTGTTTGCACGCCAGCATTACGATTTGGTCAGCGCACTAAGACAATAATTCAAAATGGCGGCTGTTGCGAGGTGTTTTCCATGTGCTAATTTGCTTCGCTKTMCTTGTGCTTCAAGGCTCAACTTAATAGAGAATAGATCAATAGCTCTGTCAGGTATTTGCTGATTCATTTATCTGTTGTTTTGGGGCTTTTTTCCGGGAAGTTAAAGCTAATTATTGACGAAAAAACTAATTGTAGCTGGATTTTGTCAGCTAGCTGAAAGTCCCGGGCTGAACATATGACGGACCTTAAGACTTATATTTATAGTGATAGCCGTAAGGCATTACCGTGGTAGCAATAGAGATACAAGAAGAAGAGAAAGAAATGAGAGAACAAGACAGAGAAAAAGAGAGGGAAAACAACAAAAGTAAGAC